TTTTTTCAATTCTTCTTTGAAACATGAATTTTCCCTAATAAAAGTAATAAATTACAAATCAGGTACTGATCTGTTCAAAGAATAACAAAATATCATCATTTAAGATCTCAAATAAGTGTAGAAACTATACTTATCAATTGTTGACCTCAAAAAGTGTACTTCCAGGTGGCCAACAGATCCTGAGACCTCTCACGTCTGAACAAGCCATTTTCCTGCACACTAGGAAAAACTGTTAGACACACGTGGCCTTCTCCGGTGGGGGTGGAGTCGGCCGAGCGTACTCCGACGATCAAGTTAGTTGGGGATGATTTATGTGAGTGTGGGAGAGCTTCTAACGTGAGCCTCCAATATAAAATAAAAGGGGTCAGATTCGGGAGTAAAGATACTGTAGAGAGCAAAATTATAGTATCAAAGTCTAAACTTGCATTACCTCTCAATGACAGTAAGTATGAGTTTTTATAGTATGAGATAGTGAGTGAAGACCGTCAGATGAGAAGACACGTGGCCTCATCCATGTGAGCACAACCTCCCATCATGGGAATCAATCAATCATAAGACTTGAATGGTAACATTAGCTTGCCTTTCAGAATTCATAGCTTGCGGCCATAAATTCAACCAAACAGGTTGGCGGTGGCGATGGTGTCAGGGAGTAGTTAAATCAGTCGTGTCACTAGAGCTGATTTAGGAGATCTTCTGTCAATCAACCTCCTTACTAATCTCGTTTCTTTTGCCTGGATTTCTGTGGGACGATTCGAGTGTGTTGGTTCAGATAGGGATGTGTTCGATTAAGGAGTTCATCCATTCGGTTCGTTATCCCATGGGTTCGATCGATAAAGGGTGTGAAGTGCCTATGGTTTCACTGCGACGTGGCGATTTAGGGACCCTGTGATGAACGTGGTATAACAAAGATTATAATCATTTCCGTGGGTCAATACTATTCATTATTATGTAGGAAGTCATGAATAAGTCTCATTTTCAAAATTAATTGATATTTGTGCTTTTGTGACACTTATCCAGAATCTGTACACATGCATTTAAAGGCATGGTGCACTAACGTCAGGGCCGGTCCTGTGCTGTCAGGGCCCTGAGGCGAACTTTATAAATTAGGCCCCCCTCCTCAGAAAAAATAAATAAATTGTA